CGGTAGATCATTTTTTTTTTTTTTTAAGTTTTAGTTATTATTTTTTTTCCATTGCAAACAACGACAAAACGTGCAGTTGACTTGTACACATGTTATTGGCCATCGTTACACAATATTTACAAAACAAACACAATATGTTTTCTGCAAACCGCATCGCACATGTCCATTTACGACCAACGTTATGATTTCTAATTAGGTACTTACAATATTAAACTGATTCGGTGACGTTAAACTTCAGACATTGTAGACTTTCTACTCGGCACTGGACAATATAATAAAGTATATTAATAAAAAATCTTAGAGATAAACTTGTCTACTGCTATATAATGATATGGTATAGCTGTAGTTGTCACAAATAAGTGGGTTATAATGCATTAAATATGTAGTATATTATAATTGGTGTATGCTTTTACCGTGACGACTTAAAAAAAAAAATGATTTCTAGTTAACAAGAACTTTAATATTAATTATACAAAATAATCATTGTAACTAGAAAACATGTGTATGTATGTCTCATATGAACAGCATTATTGTTATTAATTTTTTTCATTTATTTCCTCATTATAATTACATTTTTTAAAATCTTGTTTGTAAGTTTCACTTTATGTAAGTCTGGTGCCAGATGGGAATACGTTTTTAGTAAAAAATATAATAATAACAATCATATTGGTGTAGGGATATACTCTCTGCTCGAATTGACTCGCTATAAAAGCTAATTTGGCTGATTTTTTTTTAAAAATAAAAATGAATTAATTTATATACAAGGATGTTGCAATTTGATAATATATATCATATTTGGGTTAACTCTACACATCAGTTTTGGAAAAGGAGATGGGCAGAAAATATTATATTATGCCATTTTCTCAGTACGATAAAAATGCATCTAATAAATTTATAAAATTCAGTTACTAAAATTCCTAACTCTTGGGGTATTGTTTAAATGTATTTCATCTCAACTGTGTGTACATACTTGCTTAATGGTTTTTTAGATGTTTTTTTTTTTTAGTGATAATCGAATGTAAAATTTGTAACCTGTTCTGGGCTGTTGTTACGATATAACAAGATCATTGTTTTTTTTTTTTAATATTTTTTTTTTAACGACGTTTCCAACGGTAACCTTCAAAACAGACATGTATCAGCTGCGCTATAATAAACAGTTAGGTGTACTGACATTAGCCCTGTGCAAAACAATAGGGCGTTTTTTTTTTTTTTTGCTGTATTGTATTCCGGCAATTATATGATAATCGTGACTCTGCATTCATATGTGTGTATTATGTTGTTGTTATAAACACATTAATCCGGCTTCGAGTGAACGCTGAATAATTTCAAATCAGATGCCTGAACGATGAATAATGAGGTTTTGCTGTTTACAACAATGGGTTATCGTGAAATTCGATACAACATTAGATATTATTATTATCTATACCTAATATACATAGCTCGACCTGAGCCAATTAGCGTTGTGCACAGATTTCCATAACTATAAAATAGGATATATTTTGGAAAACTGCGTATTTATCTATTTGGTTTGAAATGGTTTTTCGTAACTACTGTTTTACTGTTTTACTGTACAACATTGTACACATAGGCCTTCATTTCAAATTGATTTACTCTGGGAGTAGGCAATGTGAAAACTCAGGTCGCTTTTACTGCTTGTACGTTGAAGTTAAGTAAATCATGTCGTGATGTTATCGCATTATAATAGCTGTACTTGTTTGTGTAATTCAGACTGTACAGTATTGACTATATGACTATGTAAAGCCACGACAATAATATAATAGCGGTTGTATACCGTTGATAGTTCAGCGTGTGTGTTGCACAAAAAATAATTTTAGATTTCAATAAAACACAACACACCTGCCACAACCGGTTAGACATAATTATTTTTTACTCCAGTATCGTTTTTTTCCATCCAGCTTAATAGTTCACAAACAAATATTGCGCGCCGAATATTTTCTATTTAGATAAAATAAATAATAATATGTACATTCAGGCTGTGCTACATTTAAACTATGTATGATTACAAATAGCCTGAGGTGCACATCAGCAAATCAAAATGCGGAGGAGTGAAACGTGGGGCTTCCTTGGGGCATTCAGCTCTGGCTGAAGTGTTCATAGTATTAATAGTATTGTATAATATTGGTTTATCCAATGGTAGAATCAATTATTTTGCCGTTTAATAACGTTTGCCAGTGTTCTGGCTTGCTGCTTGCTTGTTGTTCGAGCCTAAACAAGGTATTGTAATTATTAGAGTTTTAGCCAATTCTAGTTTTTTCGAAGGACGACACGTCGTCATAACTGTCTGCGTTATGATTTGTTTATTTTGTTCGAAAATAACGTCAAAACATCAAAGAGCACAGCAGCAACATTAAATTGTTATGTGTATCAACTCTCAGAGTAATTTATTTTAAAAGTTTGTAAATCAATAATATATCCCTTGACTTTCTCTTTAAATTCTATTTTTTTTTTAATTTAAACTCATCAGCAGTGAGTTGTAACGTCTAAACTTTCATCGTACCTAAGTAATTTCCATCGAAGAATGCGTTGAAAATATTTTTGGAAATTTTTCAATTCAACCTTAGTGATATGAATTCCAAATGACGGATCTATATTATATTCTAGTAGAGATCTTACTAGCGACTGACTTTGAGGCATACCAAATCGTCAAATTCCAAACAATTCCCATCATAAAATCCTTATCATATTTATGTGGTTGGCAAAAGTTGAATTACTGAAAAACACCATGCCCAGTTGTGCGACTACTGTTAACAACAAGTCGTCGATCATTTTCCCACATTGCTTTGTTCCTACTACTAAAAAAAAACCACCTAATCCATGAAAGTAAGTATAAAAAAAATGATAATACTATTACTGTTGAATCCGGTCACAACTGCCACGGCGCTCACACGAACACAAATCCGTTTTGTCGTGACCTCGTCAGGGCCAAAGACGGCGGCGGCGGGCAACCGTGATCGAAACGTCCTCAAAAATAGATACTTACAAGCGGCCAGGTGCAAGTACATAGAAAAAAAAAACACCTCCGAGAATGAAAATAAATAAATAAAAAAAAGTGCACAACCGGCTGGTTAGGTCGGACCTACGTCGGCGCGCTACACACAGCTTAAGTATCACGATTATTAAAAAATAACTTACACACGACCAACTTCCCATGGTATTAGCACACAAGCCTGTTGATCGCACCATACATGTTAAAAACCATCACAGCTACCGTTGTGAAACCGTCAAGGACTTCTAATACACTCTATGTATGGCAGTTTAGGTATTATACCTACGCTGTGCACCACACCGTGGGTCTACTTTTCCAAAGATTAGTTTTGCTGCCGTGCTTTGCTCTCGAGAAGTAAAAACTATGATAATGGTTTTGGTGGTTTTTTTTTTTTGAAATATTTCTAAAACTTGACTTAGAACGCGGCTCAACGTTAATTGCAGATTTTTAGAGAAACCAAAGAGCTCGTTGGTCACATAACGCAAATAATTTTCTCTGCTCGATAATGTTTGTCTGATTTCTAACAAACAAAAAAAAAAATCCATTTAATTAGACCGTAATAATGTAAAAACGTATTAATTGGTTTTTGCCGTTCAAACACTAATTAAAAAATGATTTCATTTGCTTTTTTTTAAGAAAACACACACACACATTTAGACGGATGGTAATATTGTTAGACTTGCCGAAACAAACGTAACAGATACGGTCGACCGATTGACAACAAAAATATTTATTACGCTTTCCCTTTTTTTTTTTTTGTATTTTTTTAACAAGGCGATTTACTCGAAACTTCACGTTGACTTCCTGTGCACAGTGTTATTACAAGTAATTTCTATCCGAACGACAAGTGTATTCGGTTGTGAAGAATCGAAGGCATGTCCAGCGTCTTAATCCAAAATTTCTTCAAAATATAACAAGTTTTCTAATCTAAAACCTTTTGGGGCTATACCACAATAGATGTGCTTGTGAATAATATAACAGTATCGCTGCCTCGGTTTTTGCATTCTGTCCATTTCAACGATTCAATTGTAATTATGGTGTTTAACAGATGCCTTAAACACAGCTCATTCATACTGTTGAATTTAACGCAAGCACTTGCATGTGCACTTGTGTTATACATTTTAACTGTTATTTTCTTTTCTAAAATGGACCAACATAATAATATAGTACTGAGTAAGTGTTTTAATTTGTATTAATATTATTTATTAAACCAAACAAATAGGCATATATGTATATCCTGTAATTACAGAAGTTCTACTTTATTTACATATTATAATGGAGTAGAAAAATTTCTGGGGGGTTATCATTATTATTATTATTTTTTTTTTTTTACATAATTATGCGTAGGTACCACTATATCAGACATTCACTCAAATTTGCCCCTTTTTTAATTACAAATTAAATAATAGCCATTTTTTTAATATTTTCTCATAGATAAAACTGACAAATTGGTGATTTTGGGTGTCGTGAAATTCGACATACTGTATTTTAAATACTTTTTTTTAAATATTTATCAACATTTTTTAACTTTTTTAAACATTATTTATAATTTTTTTAAACATGACATTACTAGACTAGAGAAACTGACTTTTGAGGCCCCGAATAATACAATATTGACATCTCAACGGTATTTTCGGTTTTCTCAATGGCTTTAGGACACCACATGGCATAAGCCGAGAAATCGTTTATATGCTTTTTGAACTGCTGGACACTTTGACCGGTCAATTCCAACCGGAGCGGCTCTTGCGACACGCCCAAGTGCGTGGTAAGCATTGAAAACATTTTTTTTCTCCTTTTTTTCAAAACCGGGAAGCCGTTTAACTTGCACGGCGCGTCACTCGGCGGCCCACGAGACCGGAACAGAACAATATGTAGAATACGGATGTGTTATTATTATCACACTGGAACGTCGGCTTCGGGTGCCGTCGGCTATGGGGACACACCCTGATCGGGTCTCCTCGGCACAGTGGCTGTGTGTGGTACCGACGACTGGCCTCAACAGCGGGCACACGTGCTGCCGACACGGCAACGCGCACACACTGTCGTTCGCCTCGTCCAAAACCGACCGGTCAATTGTTTGCGGTTTTTTTTCTTCGAAATACTTAAGTACACTTTTTTGGGGTTTTTTCATTCCTATATTACCTACATTTTTTCGCGCGTTAGTACTACATGTAACCGACAAACCATACAGTTACTATGTTTTCCATTACAACGAAACCGCCGCCGACCGACAGCTGACGAACGTCTGCACCATCATCACAAATGGAGCTAAGAGCCTGACTGAAAAGGTGACTGTTATTTTTATTTTTTTAATATAATAATATGTAATTTTCAAAGTATAAGACTCCACTCCTTACCTAGACACGTGATAAATAGTACAATTATTATTTTTTTTCAAAATCGTGTGCACTTAAAAAGATTGCACTGTTTTTGCTAGTAAACGGTTTAAAGTACTTTTTTTTTTTTGCTTTATAGGTAATTGAATCTATTAAAAAAAACTATTTTTACAATAAAATAACGGCATTCCTTTTTTGTTTAAACAACTTATATTTGTACTCGTCAACGCGTTTATGGTGTGTAGACTATACTCAGACCGTTCAACAATCAACACGGTGGCTCAAAATAAGTTTACACGTTAGATGAATCACTAATTAATTTATAGTTTTTATTTTTGGTACAATAACTGCTGTTGTCATTAGTTGGCCAGCTACGGTTAAAAAGTCTGCGGTTGTTCTAATTATTATGATCTTTGGCGGGCAATAGCTTATAATATATATATATATATATATATATGTTTTTCTTATTTGAGACAGGGTGGTTTGACTATATGGTTTAAAGCATTGGCAATTAGTTAAATTTCCCCGGGTCCGAATCCCCCACGCTCAAAGTGTTGTATTGATCTGGTAGACCACCGAGAGTCGTTTTAATGTCATTCACATTTGTAGCTTGTGCTAAAATTTAATGGTCGGTATTTTTATTACCACCGACAAACGCACGTTGCCCGTCTTCCATGATTTCCCTAAAGGGGCGAATGCAGGGTATACTATCATATTTGTGTAGGTACATAATACATACAAGTGTGCAAAAGTTAGAACTCAAAAGGCAAATACACCCCGATGACGACGTTCTGGCTTTGAACTGATAAAATGTTTTTAAAAATGTACAGAAAGTGTAATAATCTTATCAACACTGTTCTGTTTTTTTTTTTTGGCTAGCTGCTGTGTATATGGTACACAGCGTATTCATAATTTCATGTATTATACTGTTTATGTGTTTATTGAAAAAATTAAAAATGCAAAACAACCCTAATGGAATTACGACCTATTGTAATATTTTTTTATTGTAGTTAGGGCCAAAGAGCGATAGGGATACATTTAAAGAATGTTCCAGCTTTAATGAGAGGAATTTTAATTTTCAAGTGAGCCGGATATGGGCTTATGCAAACGTCAAGACTTTAGTTGAACCCGTTCTTTAGTTGCTAAGACTTTAAATTGTAAATACTTTGATATCTCTATACGATTTCACTTGTTCAAACAAACTTCATGAATAATTGTTAATTGTAATCAAACTGTCGGTGTTAATTTAGGCGCTCTGTTTAAAACAGGGTACTCTATTGTGTTTTGACAGTTTTAAATACAATTTCTATAAAAAAAATTTTTTAAAAATGTCAATGTTACACCAGACACTCTGTATGGTTCAAACGACAAGTACATTTCCACTGCAAACATCCGCGTTTGTTGTGTTGGAATTACACCTATACTACGGTAATTGAATTTAAATTGACAATTTACAGCAGATAATATTTTAATGCCACCTACCTCGTTTGTTAATGAGAAATGTGTCACAATGGGTGTCGCCCATTATTGTGTATCTGATACCTAGGTCGCGGCGTTTATTTATTTTAAATCTACTTTTAAACTTTTATACAAAAGCGTTATATTATAAACGAACCGGCTGTAAAACCACCTGGAACAAAAATAAATAGTGGCAGTAAGGAACCAACCTAGCTAGTCTTAAGATGTATTTTTCATTTTTATTTCTTTATGTGTGTGTGTGTGTGGACGTTAAACGTACAGCTACGATAAATGAGTTCGAAATGGAATAATATAACAAAATATTATTAAAAAAAAACGTTTTACTTAAGCCCAAAGTGTGTCTACCCACACGTCGCATACAGTCAGTGTGTATCTTATCTTAATAGATCAAGAAAAGTATCGTAGAGCCGTTTGGTGCCCGCGGAAACAAGATACAAGGTCGTCGTTTTAAAGCAATTATCGTTTGCCTAATAATAATAATATGTATATATTTTGAATTTACGGTTTTCTAGTGTTTTTTATACGGTTACAACGAGTCACACCGCAAGTAGGTACTCGACCGGTTAAGTTGTTATAACAATAATAATAAAAAAAAAAAACGTGTAATTGCAAAACCAATACAATAACACTATAATAATATTATTATCATCATTCATCAGTCATCGAACCTTGACAGGTGGTCGGTTCTAGGCGTCGCGCTTTTCCTTATTCTTAGCTCATTAGGCGAAACGCCAATGGCTTCACACCCCGACCGACTTCCGGACGAATTACTCAATTTAAGAGATATTATTGCCCATCGTCACGGTGCACTATTTTAAACCATTTGGTGGTCTAAACCGCAAAGAGCACTTCCCTTCGCAGAAATAATATGTATAACAACACCGCTAAAATGTTGTACCGGCGCCGACGCCCATTTGATGACCTCGATACCTCTAATGTAATTTTAATCGAGATTTATGGATTTCGCCTTTGGCTAAATCCAAAGTCAACGTCTTAGCCCACCGAATTGCGTGCAATCTATCAGAAGAAAGGATGTAAAATAAAATGATTAGAGTTCCCCCCAATAGGCAATGACTTGTAACGCCATCGCTCATTAATTGGCCCAAAAAACAACAGAGTAAGCTTAACAAAAAAAATAGTACAAATATAATTAGAAATAATATATATAGACCTAAGTAAATATACATCATTATCGTGGAAAGTTTAAATTGTTTAGTTAAAATAGTTAAATTAAAATTGTTAATTATAGTTACAGCAATCTATGAAAGTATCCAAAAGTTAAAAGTTAACAATTAAGTGTAAAAAATCTGATCTGTGGCTTTTTATTAGTTGACTTTATAGAGCTTTTTGGATGAGCAAAAAGCTAAAGTACCTTTTTTGAAAATCTTTTATTGACCAAGAATTTTTGCTCGCATCACTTCCCAAAAGTAAAAGTACCTAGTTGTGGTTTATACAAATTTCTCTCTACAGGGGGTAATTCTTTTATCATGAACCACTCAATATCTCATAGGGTTTAATGAGAAATTAAAATGTTTTTTTTCATATTTTTTTTATACAATGTGATCTCAATTTTTTTTTGTTTTACCCCCTCCCCACTTAGTTTTTTTAATAGCAACTTTTGAAACTTAAATGGTAACGTATATATTTTATTAACTTTTTAAATTGAGAATAATGTACATAAAATATTGATTGGTCGATTTATACCATAGGTATAAAATGTTTAATTTTTTTTTTCGTAAAACCCAGTTTTTTATAAATATTTTTTTGATCTATAATAGATAACACTCTAAAACCAAGACAACATAGACCAATTAATCAATGTAATATTTTGTAGCTAAATTTCAAACGACCATCAAGGCTCGTATGAAAAAATATAAAGATTTTAGAATTTTATTTCCTAAAAAATTTGATGTTAATCGTTTTTGTTTAAAACTGATTAAAATGTTAAATTTTATATTTACCCGCGGGGTTGGCAATTGAATTTTGCAATAACTCCTGATCGTCTATGCATGCTAAAATGAAAAAAATTAAATTAAATTTTTATTTTTATTTTGATAGAAATCAAGCATATTATATTAAATTTGAAATATTTATATAAAAGCGGTTACGGATTATGCGGACGGTATTTGCTAAATCTGAAATTAAAAAGAAAATATTTTATTCTTAATCAATATCAAGCGACTATGTGGAACTTTGTCTGTGAAAAGCAAAGAAAATTATTACCAGGCGCAGACAACATCATAGCGATTTCCCCTGAAATAACATAAAATGATTAAATTATGATATTGTGTTTGATTTTTTTTATTCTGTTAAAAATAATAAGTAGAGCTCAATTTATAAATACATATATGTATTATTAGTTTGGGAGTAATTAGCATGGTTTCATATTTTATATTACAAATTGCCAGGTTTTATTGTATTAAATACCGTTGTAATTATGCTGAAATAAATAATAGATCTAAAAAAAAAAAATAAAGCTTACAAAGAACAATGGCAGAAGATTGGTTAATAATTGTTAGATAAATCGTTTTTGAATTTTTTTTTTACTAGCAATTTAATATTATTTATTTATTTTACAGTTGTAATTACTCATTGAGTAGTGGCCAGTAAGAATTTTTGTAATTACATTGTCCAATTTATCTAGAATAAAAAAAAAAATAATGATTTTTAAACGTTTTAAATACAATCAAATTATAGAAACATTTTTGGCAATTAGCTGTTATCATCACAATAGCCTTAAATATATATCTTACTTTGATTTTTAGCCATCGAGATTTGTATGTCTGTAATAAAACTGTTTAAAACACATAAGTATGAAGGTAAAATTAAAAGCATAAACGTTATTTTTTATGAAAAAATATGTTACTGGCTTGTAGTGAAAACAAACTGTTGATAGTGGACTGTAAAGGCAAATTAAATATTGAATTTAAGTTTAGATTCTTAGCTACTTTTCTTGAATGCACGTGTAAGGATAAGCCGTTGTTTAAACTTATTTTCTTTTCAGTTATTAATTTCAGGATCATTTGCGAAACGAATATGTTTGTACTGTACTATTTCAATCATTGTATTGTGTAGGTATACCGTTTTATCGATAAAATATTGTAACTGTTTTTTTATAGGGACAATTTTTCCTAAACATATTAAAAAAAAATCTAAATAACGGTTTGTGCAAAAAATACACAACATAATATATTCACCATCTCTTATTGAAATATTCATTTAGGTTTCAATAATGGTCAAAATCAGACATTAATTCAAGTAAATTTTCCCCTTTGTTTTTTCGACAAGACCGCATTAAACAAACTTGCTGATATATCAAGCCGACCCTGGTAAACGGTGTATACTTAGGTATATGCCGTATAAATCATATAAAAACACATTTTTTTATTTTCGCTGACTTACACACGGCCTAAACAGTGTAGTGTATACGTTTTACAACGATGTATTGCTATTTGGTTCGTTGTTCATTTTTGATACACAGCTGCGACGATAATAATAGTTTAATGTACGATTTGTTTCAATAGAAAATGAAAAAAAATTCTACATATATGTATTGCACGTACCTAGTACATTTACCACACGAATACAATTGAATTGAAAACAATTTTAAGAGTTATATATTTCCATTAGTTGATTAGTACCACATTGATGAGAAACCAGTACATTTGATGAAAAAGCGTTTTACTTAGTATGTAAAATAAAACATTTTATAGTCACTAATCTGTCAAATTGAATAGAAGTCAGTTAAATAAATATACGAAATATATGGATTTGAATTATACTATACAACAATAATACTATAAAATTGTTGAATCTAGTTGCTATTATTTGATAAGCGGTGCACTTAGTTGTAGCAAAGAAAATATGCTTGTATGTTTCTTAATATTAACACAATTAAAAGTTATTTAACCTTAATACAATTTTCAAAACCAAACCAATCAAATTTTGTGAACATCTTTCAAAAAGTAGACTTGTACAAAAATAGGTGTAAGAAAACGAAACGACACACAAAATCAACCTTATTTATAGGCAGGGCCACTGGAGTATGTTAGAAGAAACAGATGAGATAATGAAAAAATAAACCTTGTTGTTTAAGAACCTACGTGGCCTTAAGTCTAAAAATGTTCAAGTCATAGAAACCTTTGAATGACAACTTCTGTGCGTTTGTGAACGACATTTTTCATGATAGTTTTTCTGGAATAATACCTTAATGGAAAACGAGGATAGAAATCGCCGAATTGTTTCAATGGTATCTCCATGGCAGGGTCTGGGAACGGATAACGTTTTGATGATGTCAAGTGAAATTCGACCGTCCAAAATTATCATAAAGTAGCTCGGATGGTCGACGAACCTCCGTTATTCCCGGTGTGGTCTACGGGTACCGTCATAGCTGCAAAACCGAACAATGAAATACACTATATAATAATAGTACACCAGCCGAGTGCGTAGCTCAACGTGTACGTGTCCAAAACGCGGAGTCTGTGATTTTTGTTCTTGTTGTATTTTTTGAAACGGTTTTTAAAAAAAAATACCTACTTCTCGGTAAAACAGAAGAAAAAACACACACGGGTCGTTTAATGACTTTTATGTTTGCCCATGTAGGTACATACCTACCGTTGAGGAAGCGTCCGAAAAGCTTGAGAGGTACAGTTTTCTTGAGACACTATCTTGCAAGACTATAATAAGTATTATTATTATTCGGTATGTTTGGAATGTCGCTTTAATTCGCTTTGTCGGTTGCGGTCAAGACAATCGAACCAATCTCGGTCGGATAGAGGTTTTTTTCCAACTCGAGATTATTGTATTTTTATAATATATTATACAATATAACAATAATATATAGGTATACGTAGGTAGTGTAATATACTTCTTTACTTTTTTTCCGCACCGTCGTCACGCTACAAGCCCAAGTCAATAATATTATAATAATATTATCGTTTAATTGTATATTGTGTTTGTTATTTTTTTTTTTTCCAATAATATTATTATTATACTGTTATCATATAATATAGGAAACGCGTTTCTCCGGTTAGCAACGCCGTGTAGTGTTGTGTGTGTACACACTATATCCCGGCCTTAATTATTGAAATACTTTTTGTGTACAATTTTCAAAGACTCATTTTTTTTAAAACGTTTTTTTTTTGTTTTTTACTGTTTTTTTTTATCTGTGCGTTGCCCATCCACAGATATTGCATGGACCGACGGAGGAGACATGTCCATAGCAGCTGCTGTTGAAGACCGGCCGTTCATATTCCGCGTCAACGAAAACGGCACCGGACCGGCTCTGCTCATTCAGGTAAGCCACAAGTGTATACATAATATTATGATATTAAGACATACCGTCAATGCGTTTTAAGACTTACGGTGGCAACATTTAGAGAGCTTGTTGTGAATAGGGGAGAAAACAACAGAGTGCTACACACTTAATAGCGAGCAGATATAGATATTTGTCCTGGTTTTAATATAAGATAATGTACAGGTGGGTTAGGTTAGGTTTGAATAATGATATGAATCACATTTCCCCCCATTTAAGTTGTCATAGTTTTTGATAATTAATTGCCCAATAATAACATAAATTATATATTTTAAATAATTCTTCGAAAATTAAAAACCGACAAAGTCTACATGCGTTTTTTTTTAGTCCTCCAAAGAAAGTTGAGAACCCCTGAGACAATCGAACAGAGACATATTTAAAATGTATATTTAAAAAAATAAAGCTCAACAGTCTTGTACTGATTCATTACATTGGGGTGGTACGACCTATGACTTCACAATAATTATTTTATACATAATAATATTTTACCATTTTTTTTCTTTTTATGTCTTATCTCACGTTATTTAAACGTCACGAGCATTCTCTGAGTATAATAATAATTATATAGCAATAAAATGTCAAAGAGAATGAAATTGCATAATGACAAAACGAAAAGCTAAACGGGGAACCGTTTAAGACATGCACGTGAAATTGCTTACTTAATTTTCTCTATAATATTCTTATCTCGGTGTGTTTCTATTAAAAATATATCTTACCCGTTCCGTTATTTTGTTAATTCTTACAAGTATAAGTTAGGTACAAGTCATAATTAAAATGTAGTAAAACCGAAAAATCCTAGTTCTAATAACTACCGAGACATCATAATTGCAATAGAGCTACAATTAAAGTTTACTCGATCCCGTCGTGTATTCGACTAGCTTCGTGACTCAAGTAATTTAGTTACTCTAAATTTTATTTAAAGGTTTAGTGTTAAATATATATTACAAAGGCTAGACTATCTCTCTCTCTCTGTGGACTTTGCAATTTCCAGAACATATCTTTAAGTATTAATCTAAATATTTTGTGCATCCACAATAAAATCTTAGTCTTGATCTTGTAGATTTCGTTGTTTTAAAACACTGTGTTAGGTGTGTTCACTCAAATGTGAACTAACGGCTTCGTGCAAACGTGGTAACTGGTATGTTATCATATTCGTATAATAATATTATTATAGTGAATTGAATTACTATTGCAATAAACTTACAATTATTGTACAAGATCAATAACAACCAGTTGTGTTCACTAACGCTCGACCGACTTGGATGTGGCGTTTAGTGTGTTACATAATGCAGCGTTATGGTAAAGAATAAAATAATACTAAACAAAAAAAAATCCTGAACCACGATTAAAAATGTGTTCTTATTTTCTATCATTTCCACTACCTAACTAACCTAAACATCTTAACCATTCAAATTTAGCTATTTAAGTTGTTAAATTGAGTTAACCATCAATCTTTTCCATGCTTAATGTAACGGAAGCTCTTTTTCAAATAGTGTTTCTCGTTAGTATGTCTTTTTAATTTTATAAATGCATACAACCAGAGGGAAAGGGTCGATGGGGTTGTCGATGGAGATGTCTGTGTCAACCGCTACGCTTCATACAGGGCGTTAATGACGAACGAGTTTAATAAATGGTATTTGCTTGCCGTTGCCAGTCATGAGGTGGCTATACCTCTGCTTGAACACTTCAGCATAGCTCGGTATGTTTTGTGCGTACAATGTTTTTAAAATAGAAGGGCAATTGTGAAAATGAAAAAAAAAAAATACACACAGTTACTACTCGCTCTGGCTATTCGGTCGTTCAATTTGGCTACGCTTCAACTCCGGGCCAATAAACCCATGTAAATCGCCATGTGGTTGATCAAAGTATTTTTAATTCCAATAAACGTTTAAAATCATTTTTCCAAGCGTCTCATCTTGTTAACAGCTACTACGATCCGAATAAAACAATACAGTCTTTTTTTTTTTACAATCCCAATTTTTTCATCCCAAGAACGATTGAGCTTAAATTCGTTCAGTCTGGCCAAACAATGACATCATACAACACTTTTGTTGTGTAAACCTTTTACATTTTTTTATTTTATTTATTTAAACGTTTTCGTTCAATAGATTATTGTAGATCGTGACTCTAATCGGCTACATATTATTATAGTACCTACTATCATCCTACAGGTTTGCCAGGAACGCGGCTGGAAGGAGTACAACGGGGGCGCGAAAACCAATGGCGAAGCAGAAAGCCGTGACGGGCCGTGGTCGGTGCCGACAGATGAGTATTGGAACCTTTGGTGGAAATCCACTGGGTTCTCGTTGACACACTACAAGCAACAAAAAATATGGCAGGTATGAACTGTGTGATAATAATTATAATATAAAATATTAAGATCACACGCAGAATCGTTCGATAAATCAAAATAATTAAATAATGTCTTGCATTATGTACCTACACCGTGTTTGGTGTAAACAGTGCAATGCACATAAAATATGGTAAACGTTTATTGTAAAAGTGTTGTTTATACGTTGTTTTGCTAATGGAATCACATGTTTCGTTATAAAAGAGAAGCTACTCCAATTTGTGCAAAAAATAGAACCGTCTTCAATTACAAGGAGGTAATATCGACTTTTACAATGAACCACACATATGTGAATGCACTAGTCAAACCTTATCGATTAAACCGAAAATACACTATAACCCAGTTGGCACACGGCGTTGGACGATTACCGTGTTAATAGAAGATAACCATCTCAATGTATATACTGGCGTCTGCATGACAATAATAATAATATTATGTACTCTACGCCAGAGATAGGGTTGACCTGATTATTTCGCTTAGTAATAAAATGGTGCGCATCGATCCACCACCACAGCCATCCCATAAGGCATGTCCAATCTGATCTCAGCTTCTTTATTACCGAAAACAAATGTACGTCGTGCATGTATAGCAAAAATAAAACAACACTGTCTTATTGATTTTCCAATTTTTATAAAATACAAAAACACAAAAATGATATTGCTCTGTTTTATTCGGTTGTCGTTAAAAAAACATTGCGGTGACAAAGCCTAAAAAAATAGGCACGATTCAATCAATCAAAAACAAAATAAGACTTGTGTAACACGAGCGTCCTAAGCGAGTGGTCGGTTAAAATAAATAAGACAATACACATCATTGGCGTACCTTTCTAGACAGTTTTTAATCAAACTCTTATTTTTGAGTTGGCTCGACAGCTCTTCTTTTTTTTTTTGGGTCATAATATTACACTGTAAACTTGAACTTCTGGCAAACAAACACACCGAAGGCGTACCCTATAAAGGTCAAAACGTAAACTACAAAATATTGATCTACTATCGTATGTCCTCTACCTATATTGCATTATTTATGTAATATTTCGTTTTTTTTTTTTTTACATTGGTGTGCGTTTATACTTAAAGACAGCTAACATTTCCCTGTTATTATTTAGCTTGATTGGTGTTTGAAATCTAAAACTTAATATTCAAAGAAAATACTTCAACTTCTTTGGTTACCGACAGATATTTTGAATATTTTATTCTATATCCTTTGTACAACCTACCAAACCTAAACCATGTATACTACATTAATTAAATATTCTTCAGCCACTCTCTTATCGAGTGCCTATGCTTATTATTAATGTAAATATATGTGCATTAAAAATCAATGTCACCCACACCGGTGGGTTAGGCTTGTGTTCATACTCGAAGCATAAATATTTATTACTGATCGCGTGCGTTTTAACTTGGTTTTTTTTTTTATTATTATTATTATTATTACAGTTTAACAACCACATACCGAGCGGGTCGACCCTATGCCGAAAAGACAATCTATGGAGGTACTTGAAATGCATGAAGAACGTGTTCGGATCTTCCCTGTTCGGTTTCAGGTACGTCTCCGAACACATAAAAATATTGTATTTTTTTTTTTTTTAATATACCTATCACAACTACCATCTAACTACACTTGGCACTTGGAGTGCTCGGGGTTTGAAGTAGTATTTGCTTGTGTTCCACTGAACACTATCAAACGCTCGTAGACTAAAAATAAAATAATTTAATTGCAAACGAGACGACAACACTGAAAGGCTGAACCGAAAAGCTCTAAAAACGATTTCCAGAAGACCAGAGACAAACTCGTGTGTCTTGAAAGGTTTTCCAAACCGAGACTATAGTAATATAATTAGGTTTCCAGTGAGACAAAGGTTCTGCCTACACGTCGACTAATTATATAACGGTAAATACATTTCTTGCACAATCCTATTGAATTATTATTATTCGGTACCAGATCCGAGTGCGTGAGTTGATATATATATATATATATACTCGTATATACTCACCACGACCCAAAGGTAATTATTATAACAACTTGTCGTGACTGGAAAAACGCACAAAGGGAAAGGGTTTGAAACATTAAAAAGGGTCCGTCACAACTGCAAAGACATTATATCGTGTATATGTTTCATTAATCTACGTTGAAATTATTACATAATTTAACACACAGCACATTGTACTGTTGCACGCGTCGGAATAATTTTTCTCTCAACTAACCTACCCTAACCGATAAACAATGTGACTCGGCCGCCAAACCCTCTAAAAAAAATTCTTAAGAATTTTAATTATACTTGCATTTAAAAAAAAAAAAGTAACGAGCCGTTTTCGACCTGACTTAACTAGAACTGACATTTCAAAAAAAAAGCGTAATCTAATTATGTGTATATTTTTTTTTTTTTGGCAATGTCTATAATAGAAAAAAATAGCTAGTTAGACTGAAAGAGGGAGAGAGAGATAGAGAGTAAGATTGAGATGTAAACGTCGGTGTACAGTTTTAAAAATATTATCTAATTACAAGGGTTCCTAAAAAATTCTCCCCTCCTTCACTAGGAAACATTTACATGTGTATCGGTTTGGTTATATATGTTATTTATGTAAACATTATTGTTTTCCACCCCCAAAAACAATGCTAGTGACACGCGATCCAAATGCAGGTGTTTATTTACATTATAATATAGACAGATGATAGAGTAGGTACCTATATATATATATATATATATATAGCTCGTTTGCAGCACTCACATGACTCCTCGAATAAAAATTTTTAAAAAAAATACTTCTTTTTTTCCGTTTAATTCCGATGTGACATGTTAAAAGTATATAAACCCGCGGTTCTTGTCACCCTCGATCGACACGGAAAAGGGGGAAACGGTATTATCTAGAAAATAAATTATTATTACTAAAAGTGCAGTTTCTTGTGTACTTGGCCGCGATGCACTAAAAATAAAACTTTGTTGAAAATGTCTAAACATCACGTCATCTATATATAATTATAATCATAGGCGTGCACGCGCAGGTTCATTGACTGCCGCCCTGTCTTTCACAGAACACAATCTAAAATAAAATTAGACTGTTCTCGAGGTGATTTTTAATATAGTTCAAATGTAGAAAACTATAAATGTAATTTAATTTTAATAGATTAGGTCGATGTCTACTGTATTGCGCGGTGTGTGCACGCTTATGTTTATGATTTCCATATTTAATAACTGTTTTTGTTTTTTTTTTCTCGGTTACATCGTTCAGTCCTGACTCGTACAACTTGCCGTTGGAGTACACCAAGTTGGCGGCCGAATGTAGCCACGATATGGACATTGGCGAAAAGTCCATATGGATCTGCAAGCCCGTCGGACAGAGTCAAGGCAAGGGCATCTCTCTGATATCGGTACGTGACCTACTCCAAGGGTGTTAACAGAGACAACTTTTTCAAAGCTTCGGATCCGGTCGCCCGTTTTTATGTAGTTAGCCCCAAAGGTTGTCCGACTCGAGAACAAGATTCTAGAGTTACCTCTGGTGTGTACACCAGAGCTCTGCTTTGAACCCTTGTCTGTTTTCTATTGTAACGGATGAAGCTACAAAGAATATACAGGGTGAGATACCATGGTGCATGGTGTTTGTAGACGACATAGTTGTGGTCGGAGGAGGCTCGGGGAGTGGAAAAAAGCACTTGAAAGAAAGGGCCTAAGGGTCAGTAGAAAGAAGACAAAATAATATGCACGATATGAGTTTGGAGGAAAAGGACGGGTCGATTAATGACAATAAGCCTTGAGTAGTAGGCGAGGTTGAGTGTCTGAAGTATTCAGGATCTTTTGTGGCAAGTGCAAGTGCTCAGAAGCGTCAGGTGTGTGCTTGTGGATAGGTTAAGGACAAGGGTGTCCGACCCCATATATAGTCGGGGTGAAGGCATAGGGAGAAGACTGAAATTTTTCATTTGTTTTTCTTATTCAGCAAATCGGTGATCTCGTGTACGACACCAACACGGTAGTGCAGCGTTACGTCAAAAATCCAATGCTGATTGGCGGCTACAAGTTCGACTTGAGACTATACGTTCTGGTGCCTTCGTTCCACCCTCTGACCATCTACGTGTACAGAGAGGGCCTGACCAGGTTCAGCACGGACAAATACTCGCTGAACAACCTCGACAACCATTTCGCCCATCTCACCAACAGTTCGATCAACAAGCTCGGGCCAAACTACTCGGAGACCAAAGAGAAAGTCGGACTGGGTACATATTTCTTCTTCTTTATCTTCGCCTTACACACTCCTAACCACGTGGGGTCGGCCACCCTAGTGCTCCATCTTCTACATCTCGTTCAATCACACAATCCAACTATCCTCATCACATTCTCTATTTCTTCTGTCCATATTTTCATCCACTTCCTCTACATTCATCTTCATAACGACTCTCATTGCCTGAGCCATCTCAACCTATTCCCTCTCTCATTATCCCTGCGAATGACTCAACTCCTAGACTACCTCTTATGTGTATTCATTTCTTATTCTATCCATCCTAGTCAAACCTTAGCACGAATGACATGTCCCTCTACACATTGCAACTATTGCTGCTGTCTTATTCGTGATATTCCTCGCCTACAGGATGCAAATGGACCTTGCAGCAACTCAGGCAGCACATCCGCCAGGCCGGTGTCAACGATTGGTTGCTGTGGCAGAAGATATCCGTGCTGGTCGGCCTGACGTTGGCGAGTCAATGTACCGGCATACCCAACACGTCCAACTGCTTCGAGCTATACGGTTTCGACATACTGGTCGACTCTGATCTCAAACCGTGGCTACTAGAGGTATTGTATTACAGTTTTCAACAGGATATGCATTTTAAAGCCAACGGATATAAACGTTGCAACAAGTGTTGTCCGTTGAGAAAAAAAAGTAAAAAATATCTGATGATAGGAATATATATATAACTGGGATAAGAGGCCAGAGTCGTCCAAAGTGAACGTTGATCGATCCACAAGCGATTAAAAAATCAATATAATATTATTATTGTGTAATTTCCATATTTTAGTCAGATCAAACATTTTCCTCTTTCAAAAATTAAAAAAATAATCTCATAAAGAGTGACTGCAACCGATTTGAACCATTCGAGTTAATTTTTAGTGAATCTATAAAATACAGATGGTACAAACGAATACCTTGTCCACAACGTTACAACGCTATACGAAAACTCGTTTTTGGTTTTATTTTATGGTTAACGACAAATTTAATATATTTGTAACGCGCAAAAAAAATGAATAAAACTTATTTTAATTTTATAATATTGTTTATTATAGTATATTATATTTTAACGTATACTCGTTCAAGAATATTAAAAAAAAAAAAAACCATTGGACCGTAAAACGTTCTACCTAAACGTATAAAGTATTTATACATTTTTTTTCTTTTCATTAAACCATTTTAACCACAAGTTTTACATACAGAGACTACAACATATATTTTTATTTCTGTTTATACACCTGCGTTATAGGCGCGACCGGTTTTGTGTCATAAATATTACCGGCGCTGTACTTAACTTCAAGAGTATCTGACAGTCCCCCATATATATATATATATATATATATTAATACTGATTCATGTACCAGCCATCGTTTAGGCGCGTTAAACTTACAATTTGGAACTTAACAAAAAAAAAAAGACAATTAGTTAAACCACTTATATTATGTTAACTAATTATATAAATTAAAACATCAAATCACATTCAAGTTGAATAATTAGTTGTAATAAAAAAAAACTAAATCATTAACTAAACGTGGAATGTTTTTTTATGTTTTTTATATATATTTTTTCCAGGTAAACTTAAGTCCCGCGTTGGGCAACGACTGTGACGTCGACAACCAAGTCAAAAGGCCACTGCTGCACGACATGTTCGACTTGCTCGGCCTGCCCATGTGCAACACGGGCCTGTCGTTGTACCGCATGGCGTGCCGGTCGTCGTCGGTACCGCGGTACGGCGCGGCGGCGGCGGGCGGCCGGCCTTCCGCTCTGGCCGCGGCGGCCACGGAAAAGTGGAAGATGAAACGCAAGGCCTTGCAGCGGACGGACGGCGGCGGCGGCGGCGGCGGCGGCGAAAACGCGACGATAACTCCGAAGACGACGACGCAAACCAGACAGTCGTCGCTGTACGGGCCGAACAGGCGCGGCGGGGCCATGGTACAGGCCGCGGACACGTGCAACTCGCCGACGGTGTCGACGGTGTGGGGAAACGGCCGCGACTGGCACAGGCCTGTCGACTCCGAGGGCAACTGGGTGAGGGTGTTGCCGTTGCAGACGCAGCCGCCGGAAACGTCTTTGGCAGGCCCGGGCACGGCCGGCAACACGGCCCGCGCCACGATCAAGAACATCCGCGAGTACCTGAAGTGTTGCAAGAAAGTCGCCAAATCCTACGAAGGGCTTACCGGAGTGTCGGACGACGAGCTCAACGCCAAACTCAGGGAACTGTTGCCGGCCGTGTCCAAAGTGTGGACACCGCCCGTTTAAATGAGACTATTGTAATGAACTTAACTGAAATTCATATTGTTCGCTATGATGTATAATAACGCAACTTATTATGTTCTATGAACAGTGTATTGTTTTGTTGTATATAAACTATTTTTTTCTATTAAGAATATAAACCAGGAGTCCTATTTTTTGTTTTATTTTCTAAGAATGATGTGTTATGTTTTCTTTTGTTTATTACTTTTTCACAAAAACCCCCAAAAATTAGTTGGATTTGCGTGGAACATATTATTATTATTATTATTATATTTTCTGTTAAATAAAACATTTATGATTATCATACAACTATCCGGTGTCTAATATACTCTTTTATACTGTCTAATATACTCTACCAATCAACGAACGAGAGCTATAGACTTAGTACACAGCACTTACATCTAACTAAACCGCAAGCCACAAGCTAGTTAAAACAATAAATATACATACTGTAGGTATAACACGATTTATACTGTGCTGCACGAAAATCATAAGCGAATTTGAAAACGAAAAATTGAATTGATGATTTAAAGGAAGACACCTTTTTCAATTAAAAGTAAGTAAATAAAAAATGGCTGACTACAATTTTACAAATTTCAGGATCTAGATTGTTAAAAAAAAAATAAAAACATTCTTGTTAAAAGTGGAAATGTGCCAAAAAAACCAATAAATTAATGAGCTTAAATTGTATGTGTCATGTGAACTGTCTGACTTATTGTTGTTCGTTAATTTGGTCTAAAGAAATATGTTTTATTGTTTTTTTTTTTTTACAATAATTAGATTTAAAAATACACATTTGTTGATCATTTTACAATTTATATTTGCCTATAAGAACTTATGGAAATAGCAGTAATACTCGTATAATGTAGGCCAGGTGGGCTTTGTTTGAATTATTAATAAAATATAGGATTAACAGCTATCATTAACGATGGTAAAATAACATGTCATTTGTATATTGAAATTTATGTACATAAAATAATACATTACAATTTATGCTTAATAAAAATTATCAATTATTTTATTTTAAAAAAACAACACAATTGCGTTTGTAAAATAGGTACCCATTTTGTTTTACAATCTTTACTAAACTATTCTTAGCAAACAAACGGATTGATCAAAATTAAAAATTCTTACGATAACATTTTTTGTCAAAACCAAGTCCATACCAATGTCAACAGGTTTTATATACAAGCAGTTTCTATGATAAAAAAGTAGATAGTATTACTTATAACCTAAGATTGAAAAAGGAAAGAGTAAGGTTCTTTATATTTTCCGAAGAAAATGAAACGAACAAGAAAATTAATGTATTTTCACAACTGTACACTTTATTAAGTCGAAAAATGATATTCAACGTTAATATATTTCATGGTGAATTTGCCTTCACGCCAAGGTGAAAATTTGCTGTGAAAAAATATTTTTTTATTGTAGATATTTACCGAATTTTAGCCGTAAAACGTGTGTAATGTTTGCTTCACAAAAAGCACAATATATGTGCCTATTCAAACGAAAAATGTTGGTGTAAAAAGTTAATCATCATTGGAAGGATAGCTTTCTAAAAAAACTTACCAAAAAGAGCGAAAAATATACTGGAACATGTTGTCAGAGCTATTGTGCTTAACTTAACCTCTTCTGGATGTCGATAAAATTGTTCATCTTGAATTTTTTTAAATTTATTAATTCCGAATGCCCGGAATTTGTAGAGCTATTAATTTCTGAACACAAAAAATCGTTACTTACCGTCGTCCTTAGTGTTTGTTTTCCAACAATTGCAAACTTAGCCGCTTTTGTAATTTTTTAGGGGCTATCAAACAATTACCCATTTTTTTAAAAAAAATTTTGTTAGTTATACTCGTACCATAGAACAATGGATTAATGTCGTATAGACCATTAAACCTTTTTAACACATAATTTTTTAAATAATGACACAATGGTTTACATTCGATGAAATGTACCGTAATATGATTTCAACGTTACCAACATAGTAAGTTGATAGTACCTAGTATTACTCACAACCTACGATTGAAAAAAAAAGATTGAGGGTCTTTAAATTGTGAAAAAAAATGAACAAGAAAAATATGCATATTTTAATAATTTCACACTTTATTATGTTTTAAACAATGTTAGACAATATTACGATTTTTATAGATATTTTTGACATAATTAAAATGAAGAAAAGCACACACAAAACACAAAAAAAAGTACAGTAATGAGTTATTTATTGAAGAACAATATGACAATTGTTGATAATTTTTTTATTATTAATAATATAATTTTACGGCAAACCTATGCGCCTTAATTGGCTTTAATAGTTATATTTTATACAATAACTAAAGATAATTATTGTATAATTACAATATATTATTTTTCAGGGTTTTCAATCGCCTTCAATATAGTGTATTCTGTTGTATATACAAGTTGTCTTAACTTTTTATTTATATTAAAGTCTATGTCAGATAAAGCGGTATCTTTGAATATTTCGACGAAACTTTTGACGTCATTTTGAAAATTCTCCCACGGTTTGTAGTTCTTCATTTTCCGCACATTAAGATCATTATATGGCGCAGGTAAACTGGAAAGTTTCATTCTTACATCGACAACGGCATTAAGCTTTTCTAAGCGATTATCAGGGCAATTTTCAACAATGGTTTTTACAATATTTCTATCATCTTGTACACCCAAATAGTTCTCTAACGCGTCTATATCCTTTGCCATTTCGGTTGCACTCCACGTAGATTCTGAGTCCGTATACATCACGTACTTGAGCATCAGAAGTTCTTCGATTATTTTTACCATCATAGCAAACTTGTCATTGAATAGTTTTAACGACATTATCTGTTCACTCAATGGAGTACCGTTGGCTCGCGTTCCCAGATCGTAGTCTACTTTTAAATCCCGCAACACTCGGTCCCAATTTAGCTCTACTCCAGACATTACTAAAATTTCTCTAGTCCTTGTCATGTCCGCCAGCAGGCTGTTCAAGCTCAACTTGTACAAATTAAAATGTTCGTGTCCTGTGGTGATGATACCGTATTCGTCGGCGTTTCTGTCTATTCGCTGCATGAAAACTGATGTGTTAGATTCGAGAGTGGCCATTCGAACTTCCAAGTCATCAATTTCACTCATGCTTTCTACATCCAACGTTACGCCCTTCCTATAATCAACACAGATATCAGATTCTATGTAGAGTTCGAGAAGTAGTTCTACGGCGTTGTGAGCTAATCTGATTTTTTCTTCGTCTTCGGCCGGTTTTTTTTTTATGACCGATTCCATGTACATTTGTACTCTTTCGGCGTACACTAAAAATACCAACATTACGTTACTTACACTAGCATGTTCTGCATATCAGCGACATTGTGGAACGTGGCATTGATTTTAGCAGCTTGTTTGGTGTACGATAGATCTATACCTTCAGGAACTGTCGCCAACAGATTTTTATCAACAAGAAAAATCTCGATCAGCATCATGTAAATTTGGGCACTCAACATGTAGCTACATTGAACACGAACGTATGGATCCGGATTGTCTACTTTATCCTCATATTCTGCAACAATGCTTATAGTGGTGGACGCCATTTTCAAGCTGTAGATAACCATAATAATGGTTGTGATAAAAATGAATTTAAACGACATTTTCGTGATTATAGAATTATTGTATTTTACTTAGAAACCACTTGCGAATGAGTCGAAGTCTTAATCCAGTGTGAACAGTACAAAATACGAAAACAACGCTACACAATTTCTATTTGTTCGGCCTAAAAAAATACGAGTGACTTTGACGCTCTAAAAGTTGTCAGCAAATATGGATTCGGTACGTAAGTACTGTTCGTTTGTCGCGTGCATGGTCACAACAACATGCAAAAGGTTTTATGTTATTTGTTTTTTTCGACCGAAACCCTGGCAAACGCTTGTATACAATCTATACGATAACAAAGTCAAATAAATCGATAAGCATTCGATGTAAGGCCCTAACCGATTGCTAAATAGCCGTTATGTCGGTGTAAAATGTTATTTATCGTTAGATGGAAGCATTTTTCATCCGAGCCTGGAAACACGAAAGACCATTTTCATGTACCGAATAAATGTGGAGTAATGGTCGAGTTATAGATAATGAAATAGTATATTATCAAGCGGTAACAAGCTAGTATCTAAGGTGGCTAGTAAACATATCTAGTTTCTGGCTAATATTTTTAGAGAATTGGCTGTGGCACATAACCGAAAAAAGCGTAAAGGAATGCGTTACCCCACGGATATGGGGTTAGGGGTGGGAGATAGGGGTGGGAGACAGGGGTGAGAGATAGGGGTTGGAGAAAGGGGGTGAAAGATACGGGTAGGAGATTAGGATAAGATATAGGAGATAAGAGAACATGTTGTACGTTTAAATTAGAACTTTATGATTTAACTTTTTATACTTATTAGATATTTTTGACATAATTAAATTGAAAAGCACAAACAAAAACAGTACATTAATGAATTATTTATTGAAGGACAATATGACAATTGTTTTTTATTTTATTATTACAATTTTACGGCAACCTATGCGCTTTAAATGGCTATAATAAAAATATTTTAAACAATAACTAATGATAATCATTGTATAATTACAAAACATCAAACAAAGACAATAGAAAATGAAAATTGAGAATTTTGGTACGACGAAAAAAGTGAAAATTATAATAATTTTGTTAACCATGTGAGTACAACACAAGTACATGCAATATTAGGTTATGAGGCGGATAATGATAAAAGAAACGGGAAAAAGCCAAGATATTAAAAGTTGGTTATGGAGCTCGCGGGAATGCGTAAACAATAATTTTTGTACTTATGTTTTTTTTATCTATTTATTTATTTTTCTATATTTAAATTAGGTATTATATTTATTAATTAATTTGATTCCTAACTTTTGAACTAAATTTGTTTTATATATGATATCAATTTGTTATTATAAACATATGAGTTATTGATTTATTTAATTATAACTCATATTTGACAGTGGACTAATAAAGTAGTATAATATACTAACAGGTAAAAAAGGTAGTTTTTTTTTATATAATATATGGAGATTTGAAAAAGTAATATTTTTAATATCCAGGGAGGTAGGGGAAATTACAAATCGGTATATGATTTTTTTTCTCGCGGAAAGAGATAAATACAAATGTTCAAAATGGTCATACAAATTTATAAAAATCGAGTACTAATTTTTGGCATAAAAAAAATGGTCAGTATCGATATGAGGGGGGGGGGGGCTGGTGAAATGTACGTAATGTCAACTGGTCCCACCGGAGATTACAAAAAGTGAATACATTTAGAACA